ATTGGTGGGCGCGCTGGGCCCACCCCTGCTCACTGCGCATGCCCGGAGCGCCGCGCTCCCCCCCCGCCCCTTTGGGACGCGCCCTTTAGTGTGGGGGCGTGGCCACGCAGAGCTCCGCCCACCCCCGAACCACGGCAGAACGGCTTAAGCATAAAAACCCCCAACACAATAAAAATCACAGGGGTGAAATGTCCCGTCTGCTGCATCAGGGCAGGAAAGGGCGAGCTGGCCCCTGCGCAGGGCGACCAGCACAATAAACAGATCCCGGGGTTAACCCCCACCCACCCCTGCTCCCAGGCACACTTAATATTCCCAGTTAATGAAATAAAACGATCAAGCCTGAAGAATTCAAAAGGGGAAGAGTAATCCATGTTCAGCACCAAAAGAGAGGGGAAAAGCAGTAAATCTCATTAATTCTCCCCTTGTCAAGATGCTGACTGTAACAGCTAACCAGAACTAACCACGGCTTGTAAAGGAAGATCTGGACTTGCAATTAATCCATGGTTTCCAGTACCACACCTGCTCTAGGCTGTTCAGCTCTGTGCGCTGTCACTGTCCCTGTTTTTTCAGTCAGGCTCAGCTGGTCAGGTCCCTCCTAGTGCTCCTCAGAAGGCGAAGTGCTAAAACCAAGAACACAGCCTTGTGAAATGACAGAAGCTGGCTGACTCCCCTGGAAAATGCACTCACCCAGACTAATGCGTTTTTAAACTCAGGCGTCAAATTGAAGGTCTCTGAAGTTTATTAGTTGTCAAGAACTTTGCTGGTTAAGAGGAATATTAAGCTTGAGAGCGTCTCCCTACGTTTGTGCCGTCTGCCACTTCTGCGACACACACCAAGACTTACCCTGCTGGTAACCAGCAGAGGCTGGTTATTATTGTTTCTTTTAATATTGGTATTACTACTGGCCTCGTGTGCGAACGGGGCTACCGTATGCTCAGGATACCTCCTCGCAACCTTGTGATGCGGCTGTTCCACTTTTTAGAGCAGAATCCGCCAACTGGTTTTGTCTTTTAAACAACAAAATCGTGACAGAAGAGCCGCTTGCAGCATGCGCTGCTTGACCAGCTCTGTCAGTGGCGCAGGCACACATCACCTCATTTAACGCTGTGAAAAACAAAGGTGGGATTAAAAGGCCTTTGATGACTCAGCTGCAACCCCATTAAAGAGCACTGTGTCTTGTAACCAAGCTGTGCCTTAAACATAAAAGTCCCTCTCCCACTTCAGCAGCATCTGTCTGTACTTGTTCCACCTCCAGCAGAAACTGTGGCACATCCAGTCTCTGCCTGGGCTGAACTGCAGACGTCGGGATGAAGGTAAGAACCACGCTTAGCAAGTCCCAGGTGGAAAAGACGACGGGCAGCAGCCACAGTTCGGCAGGATCAAGACTACAACCAGGAATCCCTCGTTAGGGCAGCGAGATGGACAGAGGCGCTGATACGTCTGTTACTTGGAGGCGTCTCTCTTGGACACACGACTACCCGGGGTGAGCACCACACGTGGCACCAGGAAAGGCAGATCTCAAATACTGAGACCAGCAGAGGGAAGTCAAACTATTCCTTCCTTCCTCCTCCCCAAGAAGCAGCCTCTTGCTTCATCGCTCGAGTGCAAGTTTGCATCTGGTAAAAAGCATAGACCACAGCTTAGGGTTTTGATCCAGCAAGAGTGTGCAAAGAATCATCCTTGCCCTTCCCAAACAGGATAAGCAGGATTTAAACTTACAAAGTATTAGTGAACCTTACTTCTTATTCAATATGAACATGCCAATCAGGTTTGAACTGGATCAAAAGCCAGTACGAGCATTTTTCTTCTTCTCCACCTCACATCCAGTTGGAGCTCTAATCACACTCGGCTCTCCTCTCGGCTGCTGGCAGCACAACAACCTGACACTTCCAAACACTTTTGTTTGGGCTTAAACTAACTAAAGGTGGGAAGTGGCAGCGGCCACCCTGAACATGCAGTATTGACACTCACATTGAACAAGGCCACAGAACAACCACTCAAGTCCCCCAGAAATCAGAATAAGCTTCCCTAAAATAAGAAAAAAAATTAAATAGCAACAGATTAAAAACGTAGGTTAGGTGTCAAAATTGCCATCAGCTAGTTACAAACAGCCAGCTCAACTCCTAACCTGCCTACCAGCCAGCTTGCTGTTTGAAGGATGAGAGATAGGAAACATTTTCCAAGAACATACAAAAAAAAGGTATGTACAGATCTATTCAAAACGCAGTAAATAAGGTCTTAAGTGGCTCCAGGTTACTCTCGTCTCACATCTTCTAGAAATAAATGTGGGTGTTTGGAGAAGTTTACTCGTCTACTCTATTTTTCCAGCTTCCCACAGTACAACTGCAATCAGCACCCAACCCACCAGAGGGCTCTGCTGCAGCCTGTTAGACTCCCCTCCTCGGAAGTCTGGCAAAAATTAAAATAACTTAAAAGAATAAACTGGCTTTTTGCTTCAGCCAGTAAGTCTTTAATTTAAAAAAAAAAAAAAAAAAAAAAGGAATTAAGAACTTGAGAACTTGCCAGGATGCATTCACACACCTGGCTGCTTTTGAATGAACTGTCACAGGCAAACAACATTGCCAAAGGTCACATTTTGATGGTTTTAAGCAGAAACAGCAGCAGAGCATCGTATCACAATCAAATCTAAAGAGGTGAATTGCAGTTGCTCTTGCTTCTGCCTCGTACTGTGAAACCAGCTAGAGACAAAGGAGACGGCAGCTGCCTCTCCTGAGCTTTCAACCGTGACGGTCCAAATTCAGCGGGTTCAACGAAGGTTTCACGTGCAGCAGCTGCCTCTACCAGTGTCTCGAATCCACCAGCTCCGGGCGGAGGCTCAGCTTCTTCAGAGTTTCATAGCCCACCACGATGACGATGGTGGAAGGAGTCGCTGAGATGATGCGAGCAGAGAGGCCTTTAGTCAGGCCCCAGGGCCCTTCCTCCGCCATGAGCTGTCTGAAGGTGAGGATGATGGAGCTCTTGCCTTCCACCTGCAAAGCCAGAAGAAATATTCACCGAGCTGCCAGACTTCATGCTGAGCTGCTCTGGGGTTCTGCTCCAACTGAGGACTCTAGAGACTACAGATCAGCCTGTCCAATAACCTTGATCTAGTCTCCAGAACTCCCTGAGGGAGGGGAAAAAAAAGTCCTAAAGAGGCAGCAGTAAGTGGGATATTAGAGCTGTCAACTCCTTCCTCCCATCTAGAAGGGGCTGGATCAACACAACAGCTCAAGTCTCACTAAAACTGACGCTGCTCCAAGCACCTCTCCTTTTCTGAAGAATGCCATGTCTTCTGGGGAACCTCATTTGAGGCAGGTGAAGGCAGCCTCACTACCTGAGCCGCCTCCCATTAATGCTGACTGTAAATTAAGCAGCACAGTATCTAGGACAGAACAACCTACGAACCGAGAGAAGGGAAGCAGTTTACCTGAAGCCAGAGAGATCAAAGAGCCGAGACCGAACCCCACCCCTGCATCATGCTGCTCTTGCAGACAGACGTGCTGAGCAGGCTGAGCTTACCTGAACCCGAGCCCTGATGACATCCATGGGGTTGGTGAGCGTGGAAGCTGTCGCAGCTGCGAGCGGCCCCGATATAGCTTGCAGGAGGAGATGGGGACAGTCTTTAGGAGTCAAGCTCGAAAGCTGTTCTGGGAACAGGAGAGAGTGTAAAATTTCAGACGAGTGGCTGCTTATCCTTAACTCCACCTGCTAATTGAGACTGATTTGCTGGGGGCAGAATCCTTGATTTACAACCTGTCACAGAATCCCAGACTCATCCGGGTTGGAAAAGCCCCTGAAGCTCCTCCAGTCCAACCATGACCCTCCCCCTGACCCTTCCCAACTCCCCCAGATCCCTCAGCGCTGGCTCAGCCCGACTCTCCAACCCCCCCAGGGATCCCGGGGACTCCCCCCTGCCCTGGGCAGCCCATTCCAACGCCCAACAGCCCCTTCTGCACAGAAATCCTTCCTCAGAGCCAGCCTGACCCTGCCCTGGGCAGCTTGAGGCCATTCCCTCGGGGCCTGGCGCTGGGGCCTTGGCTCCAGAGACTCATCCCCCCTCTCTGCCCCCTCCTGGCAGGGAGTTGCAGAGGGCCAGGAGGTCTCCCCTCAGCCTCCTCTGCTCCAGACTGAACCCCCCCAGTTCCCCCAGCCGCTCCCCAGCAGACCTGTGCTCCAGACCCTGCCCCAGCTCCGTTGCCCTTCTCTGGCCACGCTCGAGTCATTCAATGGCCTTTTTGGGGTGAGGGGCCCAAAACTGAACCCAGGAATCGAGGGGCGGCCTCCCCAGTGCCGAGCCCAGGGCTCAGATCCCTCCCCTGTCCCTGCTGGCCACGCCAGGGCTGACACCAGCCAGGATGCCGTTGCCCTCCTTGGCCCCCTGGGCACACTCTGGCTCATTCTCACCCCCCCAGTCCCTCTCTGACCGGCAGCTCTCCAGCCGCCCCTCCCCAGGCCTGTAGCCCTGCTGGGGGTTGTTGTGGCCCAAGGGCAGAAGTCACCCACAGCACATCTAAGTGGTGCTTTCCACACCCACCAGAAAGTTAGCAAAGCACAGGGAGCAAGTGGCTCAGAGCTCCATTGTGCAGCCTCTGGTCAGCTCAAACACAGGCTCTCAGACCCGCTGGGCAGAAAAGGCTTGTACATCCCCAAAACAGAGCATGGAAACGTTTACCCCCCCCTTTAAAAAGTAGAGGGGGAAACCTTTAGACAAGGCTATCATGTTGTCTGTGGAGATTTGTGTGGATCCAGAAAGCTGTCACTGCCACAGAGCTCACTGTCTCAGAGATATCCCCACGGTATCCTGCTGGGGTGTCTCAGAGGAGAAAAGCGCTGGGCTCTGCTCATCCCAGGGATTTCCTCACTCTGCTCCTGCTACCTGGCAACCAGGACTGGAAACTCCCACACTTTTACTGAATCAAGCTGTAGGGAAGACAGTCCAAAAGTCCCACTTTCTTTGGGTGTGTGGTGGTTGTGTCTATCTGGCGAGAGGGAAGGAAGCTGCTCTGTTTGCAACCCGGAACACCGATCGGAATCGCTGCCAGCAGTGTACTTTGAGCCCTGGGAAAGTCCAGTGACCCGGGCTGCTGCCGGTTGAGATCAGCACATGACCCAGGGATGGAGAAAAGGGACTAGAAAAGGCAGCCAAAGCCGAGATGTACTGACAGCCGGGGCTACATTTACCATCAGACCTACTCTTTCACTGCAGAACACTAGGAAAGAGAGCAAACATCTGAAAGAGGCAAGTCCAGATCAACTTGTGTATTCTTAGATGGCCACTTTTGAACCTTTTCCCCATGAAAGTCTTACAATTGATACAGTGGATTTGGTATTAAAAATTTTTGACGTGGAGAGCAAAGGGACCACTGTCTAAAAGCTCAGGCAGGATCAACATCCCAAGCTGCTGTTGCCATTTAAACGCAGCACCGATGTGTAACTGATGCTCCCCACTGTCACCAGACTGGGCCCACTCTGATAAACAGACTGGGCATTTGCAACACCTGTATTTTTAAGAGCAGGTGATTTCTGAGATATACTTTAAGCCTTATATAGTGAAATCTAAGCCTCTCATTATCATCACTTTTAGGCAGATTGCTACTAGGTAAATATTAGTCTAAAAACCACATGCAAAGTTGCACAACAGAAATCTAAAGAATTATCAGGGGAAAATAAGTAAATCTTAGCTGGGCAATACCATTAATATTTGGGAACACCCTGAGGATTACCAGAGCTGAGCTATGGAGAGAACGTACTGTTAAATGTAGTTTTATATCACAAGGTTTGCTGCCAGTTTTAAAGCTCTGGAAACTGAACCATGATCTTAAGACACAAAAGCACGGAAGAGTCACCGTCAGCAGCTGTGTCTGGGTGGAGAGCGGTGACAAGTGGCATCCTCAGGGGCTGTGGTGGGGCTGGGGCTGTGGGATCGAGGCACCTTCAGCAAGTTCACTGACAACACCGAGCTGTGTGGTGTGGGAACACGCTGGGGGAAGGGATGTGCTATCCCAAGGGACCTGGACGGGCTGGAGAGGTGGGGCTGTGTCAACCTCATGGAGCTCAACAAGGCCAAGGGCAAGGTCCTGCCTGTGGCTCGGGGCAATCCCCAGCACAAACCCAGGCTGGGCAAGGAGGGGCTGGAGAGCAGCCCCGAGGAGAAGGACTTGGGGGGGTTGGGGGGTGGAAAACTGCCTGTGAGCCACCAACGGGTGCTGGCAGCCCAGAAAGGGCCCCGTGTGCTGGGCTGCACCCAGAGCAGGTGGGCAGCAGGGCGAGGGGGGGGATTCTCCCCCTCTGCTCCGCTCTGTGAGACCCCCCTGCAGGGCTGGGTCCAGCTCTGGGGCACCAACAGCAGAAGGACACGGACCTGCTCAGGTAGGTCCAGAGGAGACCACGAAGATGCTCGGGGGGCCAGAGCACCCCCATGTGAGGACAGGCTGGGAGAGTTGGGGGGTTCAGCTGGAGGAGAAAAGGCTCTGGGGAGACCTTAGAGCAGCCCCCCAGGGCTGAAAGGGGCTGCAGGAAAGGGGGGAGGGACTCGTCATCAGGGGATGTAGGGGTAGGATGAGGGGGAACAGTTTTAAACTGAATGAGGGGAGATTTAGATGAGATCTAAATTCTTCCCTGTGAGAGTGGTGAGACCCTGGCACAGGTTGCCCAGAGAAGCTGTGGCTGCCCCCTCCCTGGCAGGGTTCAAGGCCAGGTTGGACGGGGCTTTGGGCAACCTGGGCTAGTGGAAGGTGTCCCTGCCCATGGCAGAGGGGTGGGAACTAGATGAAATTTAAGGTCTCTTCCAACCCAAACCAGTCTGTTATTTGGTTTTGCTCTGAGACTTGTGGCTCTAGAAGTATTTTGCCATATACGAGACTCCCAAGTTGATGTGAACTGAAGGACAGATTATACTTACACAGTGGCTTCAAAACTCTGCCCAGTGCCAGACAAGATCCTTCCTCACTTCCATGCAAAGTCAGCATCGTTTGGGATTAGTGGAAAGTTCAGGTAGATATATTGAGCCCCTCTTGCCTAGAGCTATCTAGTTTTAAGTCCTCTAGCACTGAGACCTCTACTCTTTGATTTGGCATTTAAAACAACGCTCCGCTCAACCTCCCTCCCAACATCCGCAGAATGCGTTTAAATTAGATACAGCTTTTTGTTTGGGGGTTCTGCACCTACCCCAAACCAAAGAGAAAGCAAATCACGCTGTGTCCAGAGTTTCAGAATGGATCTGAGGTGCTTTTAGGTCTCGTGGGATAAGATACATCCGAAGTCTCCTTTCACTTACCGGCATAGAAGTGGTAGAAGGGCCACCAGACTGCACTGTTGGGAATATAGGTGAGCAGCGAGGCCACGTAGCCCCTGTAGAAGCCTCGAAAGCCATCGGCCTTGAAAATCTGTACAATGATGTCCTTGGTTTGGCCAAAGACCAACATCCGCTTGCCATCTTGGTTCTGCACCTTAAACCTGCCCATGCTTTCCCCTTTTCTCTGCATCATAAGATGCTGGGAGATGACATCGATGGGCACTGTAATGCTCTGGGCCACCAGAGAGGCTGAGCCACCGGCCACCAGAGACTTCACAGCGTTGTTGTTGTTGTACCGTGACACATACTTTCGGGTGAGCTCATACGTTGTCACATAGCACTGTCCAGAGATCAGGGTGAAAGTGTTGACCAAAAAGCCACGGTAGAGCCCAGCTGTCCCTTCTGTCCGCAGAATTTTCACAAAAGCATCAAAAGTCCCGTTGTATAGGCTCTTGCCCTTCTGAACCTGCAACCGTGTCCGGATGAGCGTGAAGGGGTAAACGCTCACCCGGATCATCATAGTCATGCAAATCCCAAACACGTAGAATTTCCTTTTGTCCAGGTGCTCCCACTCGATGATGGGGATGTTGCGTTTGTCCTCCATGACTCCTCGGAGTGGGGTAGGAGAGGTGGCGTGTCCCAGATCTACCTCAAAAGTAGAGAACGGATCCAGGCTCAGCCCTCCTGTCTGGACTGACTAGGCTGAGGTGCTGGCATCTGAAACGAGAGACACTTTCAGTAGAGGACGAAGCACCTCGGTTAGCTAAAGCACCCTACCTCGCGTAACTTTGCTGATTTTCCTGCCCTTGTGTAAACCATTCCGCTGGCAGAGCGGTGGGACCGTGACCCCAGCAAGCGGGGCCGTATCACGCGGTTGACAGCGCGTTCTGATGTCACCGTAGCTCGCTGTTAAACTCTAACAGCACACGCAGCAGTTCTCACGATGGTCTAGACTACTCTGCTGCAAATCCAAGCTTGCCAGACTTTGCAAAGCGGTTTGAGATCCACTGAGGAAGAGCCTTGTCCCAAAAGCAAGCGCTACCTTTTAAGGAGCACGCAGGAACATGGACTGTCAACCAAAGCAGCTTCTCCCCAGTCATTCCGGGTTTGGGATGCTGGATGGGTTTGGGATTCCTGGATGTCAGGATGTCACTTGTCAGTCCCAGGCTCTGTACAAAGAAGGAAGCGATAAGTCTCCATTTGTGTTCCCAGATTCCCTGCACAAATGAGACATGTTTTTCTGGGTGTTTCCATTTTGACTGTCCTAAAGCTGGAGGGTAATGCAAGCCAGGGAAGGGATTGGAAGGGAAGGTTGTGAAAAGAGGGGGCAGCAACGAGAGAACGAGGCAAACGCAAACAGCCACGTAGAGTCTCCATGTTGATGACTGAGACCCTGAAAATAAAGGGTTAACAGTCCCTGCTCAGGGATCTCGCAGCTGAGCAGGGCCTAACCGCATTTTCAGCTAAGGCGAGCAAAGTTCATCCTCACTTCCAGTAGCGCACCATCACTTCTGGTAACGCTGGCAAAGCTGCCATCCCCCCAGCCCTGGCAGCATGCAGAGTGCCAGGAGCGGAGGGGTGAGGAGGGGAGGGCCTGGCTCAGCCTCCTCCGGCAGCCCCTGCCCCTGGCTCCTGCCCCCTGCGCTACGGCTGCGGCTCATCCCCGCCCAGCAGCCACCAACAGCTGCTTCCCCAGGACAAGACTCTCAGCAGCTCCATCCGCTGCCCTTTTGGCTGGAATTTGCTCAAACTTGGTGTATGATTAACCAAGCTTGAAAAAAAGCTTATCTCCTTGCTGGGCAAGTTATATACAAGCAAAAAGAGAAGAGCATCTCAAAGAATCACCTCAATATGAAACCGAATCCTTCACTGACCACAAGGATTTTCTTTCCGTATCAGAAAAAGCCTCCAGGTCTTCAGGAGTAACAGAATACTAAATTTTTAGAAAGGGCTCGACTGCTGCTGCATCACAACTTACATTTGAGGCTCTGGCAAACGGGTATTTGAAGTCTGTGCACAGGCACGAGCTGAGCTCTCGAAGAGCAGAGCCAGACCAAGCAGCTCCACTCGCAAATGTAGAAACTGGAACAAGCGTGCCCGAGCCAAGAAACCGAAAACAGATTCACTCTCACTGAGTGAGAACTCAAATTTAACATGAGATGCAGTCGACATCACAGACCGATTTGGGGGCTATTTTATGTTATCAGTGTAACGCAGGAAGACCACAGCATAAACGTCTCCAAATTGCAGGTTTCGTGAAGAGAGCTCAAAGAGCCAAGAACCATCTGGTTAGAAACGCAGTAACAAAACAATGGCAATTATCTACCTCCGGCACAGAGAAGAAATTACAGTTATGGAATTAAGGGGGGGGATGTGCTATTAACAGCCCATTTCATTGCCTATCTGCCAACAAAATATTTGCTTAACATCAGTAAACAGTGTTACAGGCTGCCATGGCTCCTGCTGATGGACAGTGAAGTTAAAAATACCCAAGGGCACCCAGGTCCAATAGAGAGGGTGGGGGAAACCCTGTTTTACCTAGTACAAAGAAAACTACACTTCATTGTTACAGTCAATTGACTTGACAGATAACGTATAACAAACGTCATGGCTTGTCTAAACAAAAGTTGTATTGCTTTAATTATAATTACAGTATTACTGGTTCACTAATACAGGCATAATTAGATAGCATAAAGCTTCCTACACAGGAATTACCTGCACACAGCACCTATGAAAACATAATTTTGTTCTTGTTAGGAGTCCCACTAGCTTAATATTTTTAAAAAAAAAAAAAAAAAGTCTAGCCAATGCAATTTCCTGGTGAAGCCTGAGGGTTTAGTCCATACTTCAAATTCCTCTGCCACCCAAAACCTGAACCATATGTAATAGAGCTCCCCACATCAAAGGTAAGGTGTACCTGCTAAGAAAAATCCTCAGTGTTGCAATAAGGGAAACAAATTAATAATAATTAAAAAGCATCCCTGATTTTTATTTCGGTTTATGTGCTACAGTGCTTTGTCTTTAAAATTTTAGCCTCCTTGAGGAAATAGCTGTACCTTCTTTGGACTCTTACTGATTTAATTGAGGATCTAAACTAGAAAGCCAATGTCACTTTAATCCCAGGGCTCGCAAGCAAAGTTCCTCCTGTGGGGAGGTGAGGAGGGAAGGCACCCTGGCATCACCAGGGGTGCTTCACGGCCACAATTCTCACTCTGCCAAGATAAAAATTTTGCTCAGAGCATTTATCCTTCCAGAAATTAAATCCAGAGCCTTTCTCAGAGCAACGATCCTGTCGTGCCCAGTTTCAATTTGATGATCTTTCAGGGAGATCGATATAAAAGTAATTGCTAAATCTCAAAAGAACTGACCCGCCTTCCAAAATGAAATAAAAGCACACCAGCTTCCCTCCCAGGTCACAGAGCCATTCTGTACTTCAACACTCGAAGCTTCCACGCCAAAACTACACTTCAATAGATCTATACAGATGGTGACTTCTCACTATGAATAGAAAAGCATTTCTTGAGTTTCTGCCTAGAAATTAAAGCAGAGGATTACCAAGCAGACTGCACCTGCTTCTGCTCTCTCATTAGTTTGTTGCCTGACCTACAGGATACAGCTTCAGTCTTCTAACACAGACCACAACCCCCCAACTTATCTCCTCTTTAATTCAGCCCTATCAATCTGTTCTCCAAACCGTTTTTGCTGCAGCTGTATCTAAACATGATTCTTTGGCAAATAAAGACAGGGCCTTTGTGTACCCCTGGCCAAGGATGTCTCCTGCTCAGCATACTAATGCCTTCGCACGACGGCCTGGGAACCATCCAGAAGTAGTCGGTGAGGCCGCCCTTCCGAGCTCCAACCGCCGTACGCGGTTGCCTGTGGAGATGCTCTCAAGTGGGAAAACACGAGATCAAACAAATCCACTACAAGTCTCTCAAATTTGAAGCCTTTTATCTGTGCCACGCTACGCCGAACCCAGTCTAAGTAGGCAGCTCCGTTTTGTCTTTACCGTGGCGCTCCTTAAATTTACCCCGGGATTGAAGTGGATATAAAAAACAGCCTGGGTGATAATCTGCAGGCCCTCAGCGAGCCGCTGTCTCTCTGTAAACGATGAGGCGGAGACACTCGAAGGCCATCGCTTCCCAGCACACCCACAACCTCCTGGGCGGCTGGCGCAGCCACCTGCCCTCCCACCTTAGAGATAAAGCCATCAGTGCTGACGTTTGGCCAGACAAAAAAAAAAACAAACCTAAACCCAAAACAAAACAAACAGCCCGATGTGCTGTAAAAGCGGCGAACACGAGCAAAGTTTGGTACAGTACCCGCTCAAGGTCATCGTGTGGATGAGCAGTCGTGCAGACGCGAAGCCTTTCCCAGCGCCGCGGTTTCATGTCGCAGGGTGTCCCCCGCTCTCCCCCACTGCGTCCTGCAGCCCCCCCGAAGACGCCGGGAGCCTCCATCCCCTTCCCCGCCGCCACCCCCGACCCTGCCTGCCCCTGGGCTCCTCAGTAGCGCAGCACCCACCTCCTCACCCAAAGGGATCTTGCACCAAACCGCCTCCCCCGACC